GTGGTGTTGTAAAAGCCTTGCTGTAGAACAGCATTCTCCTGATAAGCTTCTCCTGAACAAAAGAAGAAAATTACATCTACCTGGCCATGTTACATTGAGGATAAAGCACGAGCTGATGTTCATATGTTCATATTCATAAAAGATGTTCATATGTTTAATGAACATTAAACATACGATGTTCCTGGTGTTGATGTGGTCTTCCTACTTGCACTTCTCTTACATTTTTTCAGTATCTCTTGTTACATGACTGGCTTGTTTTGTTTAGGTTGAATGTTTTCCTAACTCTCTTTCACTCTTTGCTTTCTTTAAATTTGTTAGGTATTGCTCCGGGACACAAAGTAAGCAGGAAATCTTGTGAGACATCTTTTTTTCAACTTCAGTAAAATGTAGTTTGAAAAGCAGAGCTTGTGTCCTCTTTAGGCAGAGAAGCCAGAGAAATGGAACTGTGCATTTATAACCTGCACAGCTTGTCACTAAGCTCATGTATTCTGCTACCAGCACTGAATATGCTATCTTAAACACAAAAATTCAGGCCTCTGTGTCAAAATCTGTAGGCACCTGAATCAAAATCGAATCACTTTTCCTGTTCTATCAGTGTTCTTTACTGACTGAGTGCCATAAGCAAAGCATCTTCCTTATTGCACCACTGGTATTAAAGATCCTTCAAGAAAAACCTAGGTTCTCCATTAAAAATGCATTTATTGAATTTGCATACATTTATTTGGGGGATATAAATAAAGTTTAGTAAAACTCTCTTCCTGAAGCAAAAGAGCATCTAGGTCAGTCATTGCTACTGTTGCTCTGCAGTGTTAATGAGAGAAAACGTAATAATTTTTTGTCATTTGGAATATGACTCAGAATAAGAGACAGACAATCTACTGATTAGGAAAGGGGGGGGGTTGTTAATTTAATTAAGGAGTCACTTAATGAATTAAAATGGTAGATCTAAGTATCTAAGCCTGCAAAAATTTCAGGAACACTGTAAGCTTTTGTATTTCAAAAGCAGATTGGGTTAAGATTATTTATCCTTAAGAGGTGACATCTCAGCTTTGCAGATGGGGAGAGGACTTTGAGTTCTAGAGAGATTAGTCACTGCCAGTAACATCACCATGATACAATAAAGAAAGTATATTTTTGGGTATAATGTTACTGCTACATGGGAGAGCAGTTTCATAGCTGAGGTAAAGGTTTGTTACTTTTAATGAAAAATATTAACAGGGTAGGCAATCAATTTTTTTTCTTAAATATTCTTTTGTCCAATATTTCAGACCATAAAGGTTTGGATATGTACAAGCTGAAACACGGAAACTGAAACTGCATGTGCTATTTTTTAGCCAAATATTTCATCAGGCTGGATACCTAGTGGCTATTATTAAAGAGTTTTAAAGTTTAACTGTACTTTGGAAATAAAATTTCTCTTTTTAAAGAAAAAAACAAACCAAACACTTGCTAAAGAAAATATTTTTTTGTTGAGAAAACCAAAACAGTAACAGATTTAAGTCTCGGTGCATGACCCAGAATTAAAAAACAGATATTTTCCCTAGGAATATCCATTTCATCAAATTTTCCACTTTTACTAAGCTGTTGTTTTTCTACACACAAGGTGGCACAGAAGTTTCATGACCAGTTTTCTGTTACCTTTACTATAATTTCTTACTTTATATATTATGCTCACCTTTGAGCTGGGTTACACAGCTGCTGGCTGCCCCTACCCCGTCAGGTTTATGCACCTGTTGTTGCTGGGAATCAGAATAGTTTGTGCTGGAAAGGGCCTTAAAGATCATCTTGTTCCAACCCTCTGCCATGGGCAGGGACATCTTCCACTAGCCCAGGTTGCCCAGAGCTCCATCCAACCTGGCCTTGGACATTTCCAGGGATGGGGCAGCCAGAGCTTCCTGGGCACCCTGTGCCAGGGCCTCACCAGTATCACAGGGAAGAATTTCTTCCTAATATCCTATCCAAACCTATCCTCTCTCAGTTAGAGTCCATTCCCTCCTACCCTGTCACTCCAGGCTCTTGTAAATAGTTTATCTCCATCTTTCTTGTCTGCTCCTCTCAGGTACTGGAAGGCCACAATGAGGTCACTCCAAAGCCTTCCTTTCTCCAGGCTGAACAATCCCAATTCTCCCAGCCTTTCATCACAGTAAAGCTTCTCCATCCCTCTGATCTCCTTGGTGTCCCTCTGTTGGGCTGTAAAAAACGAGGGATGGGACTACCAATGCTATTCAAATGATTTATTGCTCAAATACATCAGATAAAGCCTAAGTCTGAAGGCATGAGAATGAGAGGAGTAACAAGTGGGCCATAGCTCAAAGGTGGTCATGAGTTTCTTTGTTACACAGCAATATATAACATTTTGGTCCAATAGACAATTGACACGGGGTTTATTTTTACTTTCTCACCTATCATCATTGCTAAGTTGCGCCGCATTGCATTTTTCAGCCAATAGACTGCTAGCTCACGTACACATATGCTTCTAGTGTAACCTCTAGATTCCTAGCTCACTCTATGAAATCACACTATTACCCTTTAAAACCCTCCACCATCTTACTCAATACAGTTTCTTACTTACTTAAGGCATATTCTTACTTGAAATTATAGGGACAAAAGTTTATTATTTCTCTACTTAATACCTGTGTACCTTTATCATTACATTAATCCAAGCTCCTTCCAAGGCTGTAAGTCAAACCCTTCATTATCTGTGGAAGTTTCTATTTTTCCATTTCATCCCTTCTCTGGACTCACCCCAGCAGTTTCACATCCCTCCTGTGCTGGGATCCCTGGGCTGGAGGTAGCTCTGTAGTGGTCTCAGCAGAGTGGGGCAGAATCCTCCCCTCCCCTGCTGCCCACATTGGGGGCTCAGCCCAGCACAGGGGGGTTCTGGGTCCCACTGCACGTGGCCTAGGCATGGACATCTCTCATCCTCCTTCTCCCAGGGCTGCTCCATCTGCTCATTCTCCAGCCTGATTAATAACAAAAAGGTTTCACTTGGAGCTTATTTATATCTTACTAGTTTTAAAGCAGGCTGTCTTCCACCAGAGCTTGATATAAGCAAGCATTTCCTTCACACATTTATTAGCAAGCAGATGCCTTCAGCTCCTCTGCAAGAGTAAAATCTTCAGTCAACTCCTAACTCCATTTGGTCATTTAAAATGCCACTTGCTCCAGAGAGGCAGGTTCTAGATTGCCTCTCATCCCCTCACTGTGCTTTCCCAAAGCAACAGGGTCTTATGCGGAAGGAAAGCTATTCCATGAGGGGCTTAATCTGATTTTTTCCAGCCATCCCTTGCAGTGTTGTGTAGCTGTAGAAGAAGTGACTGGTGCTTCTCGGGCACCAGCTACGGCTGTTTCATATTGGGATGTCTCAGTCATATGAAGACTCAACAATGGGATTATTTCTTTGTCATGGGCAGAAGCTCAGCCAGGCTGCAGCAGGGACAGGAGGAGGGGAGTGAAAGAAAAAAGACAGGGGAACAGAGAAGCTGAAATTAAGAACCTATATGATAGCCAGATACTGCAGTAAAAGACAGGATTGTGCCTAGCAATATGGTTTTTAATTGGCTGATAAAAATCCAATGTGTTGTTTGGGTAAGGATACTGTGCCTTATAAGCAGAGCCAGTCGTGGGAGGGGAGAACAGAGCAAATCTCCAGTTTTTGCTTCTGCTCATCTCTTCTGCTCAGACTCCCAAGCGGCAATGCTGGTCTCCACCTTCTGCACTGGGCTTGAATTGTCAGGTTTTGGAGCTTCAGCTGGTCTGAACCTGTCACTCTCCAGGGATTTTTGGTGACTGAAGACAAGATGAAGACCAGGCCATACATTATAAAAATAACTATACTCTGTTAGCAATAAGAGGAGGGAAGACATCCAAAGAGGAGGGAGGGCTTAGAGTGGATGTCAAGTGAGCCAGGCTCCCTAACATCATCTAGAGCCTTGACACAGATCCCCATTGTGTCAGAATGTCTTTTAATTTTTAATCCTTCTTGGAGTGGGCTTTGGCAAATCACCATCTTTTTGTGCCTCTCTTTACCCACATATGAACTGCAAAATGATAAACACTATTTAACTTCCAGGTCAAGGGAAGCCTGCAGTGTCTGTCTTAATTTGAGTCTTTCACTTGTTCCTTTGTCACACACACAGAGATTAAGAGAGCAGAGTTACTTTGAGGCGTCAGTGGCACCTCAGTATTTCTATGTCCTGCATGTGATGGGTGTGCAGTGGAGCAGCCACAGCTATACCTGGGAATATGGACTCAGAATCAACTTGGTCCTGGCTATTGCTGTTTACTGTGCCAACAGAGGCTTTTACAAAATAATCCTATTTTACAAAAAATAGTAGTTACCAGGAATGTTGTCACCTTCACAATTTGTGAATTGTCACAATTAGTATCTCCTTTCCCTCCCATGAGACTTCCATTAAAAATGAGATCACTCTTCCTGACCTGAGCAACTGAGGTGAATCTCAGCAGGAATTTTTACCAGGGATGCCTTTTGCTCACAATGTCACTACCCATGTCCTACTCAGAAATCACAGTCTACTGTTGAAGCCTGTAAAAATGAAATATGTTTAAACTCCTTGGAACATTTCTACCAGTTTTATTCAGATCAGGTCTATTTTTTAATGCCTAAAGTGGAGATACGCCATGGATGATCTGACAGAGGGACAGAAGGGGAACGTGACACACAATTTTATCATGGTCCTTGTCACACCAGAACCTTCCCAGAAGCCAAAGGCTGTACCTGTGCTCACATAAACTTACCTGATGATCAGGTACATTGCAGATTTCTTCTTTAGAGATAAGTCTCAAATTAATTACTCACAAAGGGAAATACTGGAGCTTTATCTTTGGATTCATGTATGACTTCTTTTCCATCTATTTTTCTTGGGTCCTCCATCTTTCATCTCTTTACTGTTATTCCCTACATTTTCAAGCCTATTTTGAACTCTATTCCTCAGCTATCCAATTTATTATCTCTTTTGTCTTTTCCTCTCCCACTCCAGCCATGGACAACTTGGAAAAATCATTCTTGGACAAGTGATTCTCTTATTGCCCAGCTACCCATCAGAGGATACGTGACTTTGGCACACTGCAGTGTTTCATATTTTGATGGCCAGGGAGCAGCACAGCAGCCATCACCAGCACTTACAGCCCAACCCAGCCAGAGACTGCTGCCCAAAAGCCCAGCCTTGGTCTCATTTTGGATCCTAGCCTCCTGCCACAGCCTTCCAGATTAGTGGGTCCCATGACCATGCCATAAGCTGGGTCAAGAGATGCTCTGGCTGAAAATGAAGGGCTCTCAAAATTTGACTTTTGGGGGTCAGCCTGCTCCTGCCCAGGACTGCACCAAGACTGGGAGTCTCTAAATAACCTCTGGCTGGCAGGCTCCCGTTGATGGCAAGTGGAAAGTAGCACAGCTAGAGACTTTGCCGTGCATTGTTCATGTGTTTGCCAGGAAATTTGGGAGAGAACTCCAGAGTTTTACTGCTGTGTTTCATTGGAATGGCCCCAGTTTTGCAACACCTGGTGTGTAGAAGGCTGTGCAGTGTCTGTAATGTGCTTACATTACATTAATTAATACATACATTATAATTAATGTGCTTACATTACTTTAATACATACACTGTATTAAGGAATACAGCTTCAACCTCTTAAACCATGACCCTTCAAGATGAAGAACTGTAAGAACATAACTTGAATTGTTAAAACTTAAAAAATAAAAACAACCAAAACTTAAAAATATATATTACTCCAATCATAAAGTGACAAAATGAGCTCACTTTAGTAGCTGGAGCACTGCTATTTTTGTAACTAAACCGCTGTTACTGCTTATCATTTACAGAGTGGGTGTTGAATAGATCAAGAATGCAAACTTACCTTGTGGAAAAGTCAGGGTTGTGGAGAGGAGCTGAAAAGGTTTCCAATTCAGAGAAAAATCTTGTGACTTCAAAAATCAGTAATGGATTAAAATTTGCTTTCAATTTAATTTAGAACAGTGAACATATTTCCAACAATTCATTTGGATAATGTTTATCCATCTCATTTGAGCTTCTCTTATGTTAAATATGATGTGTTAGCTGGTGTATTTAATATGAAACATGTTAAAGATACTTTAATATAGAAAGGAAATTAAATGAAAACATGATAAAGTCAAAACAGTTTTATTTTATATAAAAAAAGTTTTGATCTTATTAAAATAAATCAAGAAAGTAAAAATGAAATGTTTTGACTTTTCCTTGTTAAAAATACATGTCAATATTGACACGTTCCTGCAAAACATTTGGATTTCAACAAACAGAATTCTTTTTTATAGAAGAATTGTTTCACTGAGCTCTAATTAAAAACTGGCTAACTCACAAATCCCAAAAAATATTGTCAGTGGTGAACTATTACTGAGTCAACTATTTGATGGAAGGGATTAGCTAATCGACAGTGATATTTAATATTCCGATCTGTGATCCTGAAATAAATATAAAAACATTTCTGAAAAATTTCTAGACACTAAGGGGTTTAGCAGAGTGACCAGGGACATCACAGTGTGGTGGAGATCACTTTGGGAGATCTGTGACTCAAATAGCAGCTGTTTCAAGTCAGGAAAATCCAGACATTGACCCCACAAACAACTCTGCCTTGTCAGGATAGCACCAAGGGGTTTTAATGGGTAAATAACTGAGCAGTGAATGAAAGCAGAGGAGAAACAAGCAAGGTACTGAGAGGAGACCAATGGAGGAATGTGATGTCCTGCTCCGATATCAACAACAAAAACTGTGAAAGTGGAAAAATACACCGAGGAAAGGACAAGTCAAGTTAGTGCCCTTTGTTATGATGATAAAAAGTTACTGGGTTTTTTTTTTAAGGACAGAGTTTGAAAAAAGAGTTCAAAGCAGACAAGTTCAGAGGAAAAATGAAGCAACTTCTTTTACTGATGAGTCTGACCGATCACAAAACATGGTAATTATCAACAGGGTGAGCTTATAATTTCAGGATGTCTTTAAATCAAAACTTAACTGAAGGCACAAGTTATTTTGGTTCAGCCCAAGAGAAGAAGGGGGAAAACTATCTAACCTGAATTACAGAAAATAACAGAATAAGTGTTTTTAAAATATCCATTATATTTATAATCTATGGGAGTCTACACATCAATTGTTTGCACATTGTGAGAAATCTGAAGATAGCCAAGATTTTTCAACTGAATCAAATTATGCCAAAAATCAGGAATTTATTATCAACACTGTCAACAGCTGTTGAAAGTCAATGTTTGAATTAAAAACACTGTCCTGGTCGTGGTTTCACAAAACTATTTCTAATTCAAAACTTTGGTCCTAAATCTAATGAGACTGAGCTTTTAACCTTTGTTCTAGGAATAGAAAAAGAGAGCAGATCTGGAATCTCTGCCCTGGTGGCAGGGGAACACACAGATGCAAGACAGATACCCGCTTTCCTTCCCAATTCAAAGCTTCCCTGGGGCCTCCTCCATTGCCCAAAACCTCAGGATATTTTCAGCAAGAAGAACATTTCTGTAGAAACATTTTGCTCTCAGCAAGCACCATTTCATCAGGAAAGAAATTAAGAGCTTGATCAATATAATATCAGTGTTTAATTCCTGCTCATGCTACAAAACTAATTATGCGGAACTAGGTTTGCAATTTATATTTCTATTACGTTCTTCTCTACATGTAAAATGGGAATCTGATCTTCTTCTACCTTTATATCCATTGTAAGGTCCTTGGGCAGAAGACACCTGTGTGTGTATAATTACACACAAAGTAAGAAACATATAAGTTTATTTGTAACAAAGATGGTGCTTGTCCTTCTACTGCTCTATTTTAAAAAAAATACAGCCAACAGTTAGGAAGTGCAAGTCAGAGGTTTTATCTGTTATCCATGACTAGAATATTATATATTTAGAAGAAGTATTGAATTATTTGAAGAAATTAATTTATTGTATGCCATGTGTTTCTTTGCAGGACAATAAGACAGTGGAATAAAATTTTGTTTTAAACATGGAAGGGTTTGCTTTGTTACAATAAATGATCTTTGGAAGAAGCACAGAGATCTGTGTGTCTTTTTTCCCCATTGCTAGGGGTTAGGACTGATATTTTCACTAGAACATTGTCAACAACTAAGTCAAATAACATAGTGGTAGAAAATTTTTTATCATCTTTTGGTATTTTCAGCCTATATATATACATAGGTTTACATTGTATTTATTTTTTTGTGTTATAGTTGTTGTACCAAATTGTATCTCCCATGATTTTCTGGAAGACAAATTGATTATTTGCAGCAAACCTCTTGCCTTAATCTTGCCCTCTATTCAGTATCTCCTCCCCCCCATCTTGGGTGCTTCCTTTTATTTCATGTCCATGTTTTTAAACCCTCAACTGCCTTCCATGTCAGTGCACCTTTTCATTAATTTCTTTTTCCATTACCTGTCCCATAATTCTTTCCTTGTCTTTCTCCTCCACTGTACTAGCTCTTATTCCCATCAGGGAAGCACATCATTCTTTCTGATCCTTGCAAATGAAGATCCCATATTTCAATATATGAATATCCTTTAGATACTATTATTATTGTTATTATCTGTGATACATTAAGAAATTACTTGGCACCCAGTGCTCTAGTTTAGTTGACAAGGTGGTGTTTGGTCAAAGTTTGAACTCAGTGACCTTGGAGGTCTTTTCCAACCTCAGATTCTGTCCATGATTTTACTCCTCCCCCTATACAACACTACCTCAGACAACTCCTCTGTTTTAACCATAAACATTAGTATTCACACAGGTCAAGATCAGGGTAAAACATTTTCTTGGTATAGTGCATAAGATACAAAAAAAGAGCTTTTCCTTGTTTCCTTGTGCAGAATTATTAGACAAAATTTCATTAGTTTTCTTTGGCTTAATCTGTTTCTGAAATCATGCTTCTAGTCAGCAGCTGCAGTGGGAGACTGCACCTTTTGGGTCAGACTTAGAATCACATAACAATTAAGGTGGGAAAAGACGTCCAAGATCATGGAGTCCAGCTTTCGACTGAGCATCACCTTCTCAACTAAACCCTGCCATGTAGAGTCATTTCTTGAGCACTTCCATGGATGATGACTCCACCACTTCCCTTGGCAGCCCATTCTGCTGCTTGACAGCCCTTTTGGTGAAGAATTTCCTCTTGATTTCCGGCCTGAATCTGTCCTGGTGCAGCTTGAGGCCATTTGCTCTGGTCCTGCCGCTGGCTGACTGGGAGGAGTAGGGAATCATTGTGTGTCTGTAGGACACACCAAGAAAAAGCTTTTGTTTCTGTATAGCTCTACCAGTCTGGCACCCTCATGACAGCTTAACTTGCAGAGGTGGGTGAATTAAGTTAGCTCTGTTTTATGCAGAAGAAGCATGAAGGAGCTGCAAGACAGTTTGGTGCAGACAAAACACTGCCCCTTGCTTGTTACTGGAATTGTTAAATCTAGGTAAGTATGCTGGGACAGCCAGGAACCCACTGCTTCTTCTGTAGCTTTTAAATACAACCTGTTGCACAATCCAGAAGAGTAAAGACCAGCCAGTAGACCTCTAGGAATCATTTTTCCAAACTTATTTTCAAGTTTTACCTTCAAAGATTCACTGAATTTTGTAACAAAACAAGGGAGCCCAATTAATCCATGTGCAGAGCCACTGGGGCTTAGAGCAAATTCAGAGTTCTCACATTGTCACCACAGCCCAGAGAAAAGTGGAGCAGCAGCTGCTCACAAGCTGAAGCTTCAGCCCAACTTTCAGAGAGTATCTTAAGTATTTAAAAGGTCAAATAATTATTATTTTTTTGTGTCTCACTCTCTCCACAGTCTTATCTTGTTACTTCACTGATAAAATCTGGGGAGGACATGCTGCTGTTTTTATAGTGTAACAGGACTGGCAAAGCCCCACTTTAGAAAAGTGTAGGTTGTAGCATGCATGACTAATGATTAATGATGCTCATTAAAAAATGAAGTTCTGAGGAAATTCATTAATGCTTGGCTTGAGTCTTGCTAACAGTTATGCAACATTAAGAGCAAGTCAATTACAGATCTTGGCTGCAACTCATTGAGAGATAAAAGAATACCCTTTTTCCTGTTTAACTCAATGTATGACATGCTGCACTACAGAAAAGATCTGTCTTGAAAAAAGCTTCTCCAACAATGAGGCACAGCCTGCAGCTCCATTGCCACCTGCGGGTAGGTGCTGGAGTCTGTCATCCTGCTTTATTTCCCAGAGCACAGGGAAAAAGAAGGTATCCACAGAAAAGGAGGATGAAAAGTAAAAGCCATGCTTCTAACTTGCCCTGGGGATGTGCTGAGGCCTGAGCAGCAGGCCTCAGCCAGACTTGGTTTACAAGATGAATCCTGGGTAGTGTGTGACTAACACTACCAGTATTATTTAGCTAAAAATAGATTAAAAGACGCTTATGCTAGCTCTGTATAACCTTGTGTAATTATCTGCAAGTCATGTATCATTTTAAAAAACTTTCTCACCGGGCATGAATAGGCCTATTTGTAGGTTATTTTAGGGGGAAACCCTCCCAGCCAAGGCATGGGTTCTGGCCAAACCCTGGTCCTGGCTGGTCGGGAAGTGTGCCATCAGACTGTGCTAAAAATATACTCAAGCCACTTTGACTTGCTGATTTGGGCCCATAAAAGTTGGAGCCACTTTTGGGGTGAGTTTGGAGACCTCACCTGTGGATGGAAGCACTGTGTAGGATTTTCCCAATTGCTGGGAAGTGTTCTCTAAGTCCTCACTGTGAAATGGGGCTCCCCAGTGACTGCGGACTCTGGGTGATGGTGACGTATTTAGGCAATTGGTGATGCATCTTTCTCAGTCACTATCCTTTCTCTTGTACAGTAATGCTTAGGTGTCTTTCCTCTCCTACTTTTGCTTGTTGCTAAAGCCAAGTGTATAGATTTATTGGATGTATCATTTTACTTTTGTGCTGACTTAAAATTCATAGAAAAATAAGACCATTCTTTCCACTGGTATCTGTGTCCTTTAAATTGACCCAGCAATTGGCAGAACACCTGGTCAGACAGAAAATAGTTTTACCTTTGGCCTCTCAGGCAAGTACTAT